TCTTGAATCAAATAACTTACTTTCTGATCATCAATATGGATTTCGTTCTTCTCGTTCTACAGCTGATGTGCTAACAGTAATAACTGATAGGTTTTACCATGCATTAGATAGTGGTGGAGAGGTTAAGGCTATCACACTTGACATTTCTAAAGCTTTTGATAAAGTTTGGCATGCTGGTCTTCTCCATAAGCTTTTTTCTTATGGTGTAGCTGGTAACATCTTTAAGATTATTGAGTCCTTTCTTTCCAATCATAGTATAAAAGTTGCCCTCGATGGACAACACTTTTCTTCACATCCTGTAACTTCAGGGGTTCCTCAAGGGTCAATCCTTGGCCCTATACTCTTTTTAATTTACATTAACGATCTTCCAGATATTCTCACATCTAAGGTGGCATTATTCGCTGACGACACTACCATTTACTCTTGTCATGATAAGAAGCCTACACTCTCTGATTGCTTGGAGGGGGTATCTGAGCTTGAAAAAGATCTCACTTCTGCTACAGCATGGGGCTCACAGTGGCTGGTGAACTTTAATTCAGATAAAACTCAATTTTATTCGGCCAATCGTTATCGTAATAATTTAGATCTTCCTATATTTATGAATGGTAATTTACTAGATGAGTCATTTACCATTCATCTTCTAGGATTAACTCTTACTTCTGATCTTTCTTTTAAACCGTATATCAAATCCATTGCAAAATTAGCATCTGCTAAGGTTGCATCTCTTTATCGAGCTCGACACTTTCTTACTCCAGATTCTATTCTCTATCTCTATAAATCTCAAATCCGTCCTTGTATGGAATACTGTTGCCACATCTGGGGCGGATCTTCTAATGATGCTCTTTCTCTTTTAGACAAGGTGCAAAAACGAATTGTAAACATAGTTGGATCTGCTCTGGCAGCCAATCTCCAACCTTTGTCACATCGTCGTAATGTTGCTTCTCTTTCTCTTTTCTACAAATACTATAATGGGCACTGCTCTAAATAGCTAGCGTCCCTTGTGCCATCTACTAAAATTCATTCTCGTGTTACTTGCCATTCAATTAAGTCTCATCCTTTTTCTGTGACTTTTCCTAAGTGCTTCAAAAACTCTTATTCTTCTAGTTTTTTTCCTCGAACATCAGTTCTTTGGAATTCGCTTCCTTCATCTTGCTTTCCTGATTCATATAATTTGCAATCTTTTAAGTCATTAGTCAATCGTTATCTTGCTCTACAGATTTAGTCTTTTCTCTTCCAGTAACTTCCAACTCCTATAGTGGTTGCTTGCAGCCTTGTTGGAAGTGAAGATGTTTAAAAAAAAAAAAAAAAAAAAAACTTTAAGATTTGAAAAACGCATGCGCTAAACTTGTGACGCGCTTTCTAGGTCGGCGTTTTTAAAAAAATTATAAATGTACTTTTGGTGCATCCTATCTAAGGCTAACCATCAAATATATCTCTAATAAAATTGCAAAGAAAACTAGATATCTTGGAAGAATAAGCAAATACTTTACTCATTGGACCAAAAAGATAATCTTTCAAACTATAATTGCTCCCCACTATGAATACTGTGCTTCTATTTTTCTAGCTGGACTGCGAAAAGTTTAAAAAAAAGCTGCTTCAAACACTAAAGAATAATCAACTTATTTAGTGAACATTTATTTTGTAAAGGGGATTATTTATTTTGTAAAAGTTACTAAACTAGCATCAAGTTGCCAAATAAATAAAATAAAAATAAAGAAAAAATAAGATAGTGTAGGGTAGGATAATTAGAAAATCCATCAGAAAAATAAGATAAGGATTAAAATTATATTAAGATAATAAAGATAATAAAATTATATTAAGATAATAAAATTATATTAAGATAATAAAAATAAGATAATTAAGATATTGAGATCTATTGCTTGGCTTAACTTAAGCCAAGCAATAGATCTCAAAGTAAAATTGCAAAAAAAAATTACGAAAAACAGTGAAACTATGACTCTCAAGACTCTTCTCAAAAAGTTTACTTCTTTAATTAATCAACTCGAAAGTACAGATATAAGATATCAATCAACTAGATTTAAAAAAAGACTAGTTTCCAAATACTATAATTTAATATTTCTTAAGGCTTAAGGCTTTTACAACAACATTGTCACAAAGTTTTTGAAAAGCATCATCATAGTTTTTAGAAACATTTAACTTGAAATCAGGACATCTTTCATTATTGCGTATCTGTTGTGTGTAAGATGTGTAGCACATTTTATGGTATCTTACCCCGATTGCATCACAGTCTTTATCTCTTATCTGCAAAAGTATACGCTCATCATTTTTTTGCTCAGTAGCTTCATGAAGTAATCCTATTGTTTCTGCAAGACTTAGATGTTGTACAGAGCATTTTTGTTGCATCTAATAGAGATTTTTTATTATCAAGTCTAATAGAGGTTTTTTATTATCAACACTTAACTTCTTTGATTGATGGTGAATTAGAACTTCATTTATTATAGGCATTAGATTCCATGATTCTTTTTTCTACTCTTTTAATAATAACTTTGTCAGTAAATTTTTCATAACAATACAAATGATAGAATGACAATGAGTGCTTCTTGAAGGTGTAGTATAAAGGTCATCAAATAAAACATCATTTCAAACAAAATTGAAATGATGATTGTGATTCCACTTATATGAACAAGATAGTATGATACTTAGCTGACATTTTGTTTATAGATAATAAATAAAAGTTGTGTAATTTTTTTATTGAATAAGGTCTTCTGTAGAATACTCAAACAATAAATTGATAAGAAAATATATGGCGTAGAGGAATCGAAACATACATGATAAGATCCAAAATTAAAAATTAAAATCAGCTATATCTAGAAAACTGTGCATTTACTGGCTGAGAAATTTTAACCATCAATTTATTTTACTTTAAAATAAATTGATAATACAAAAAATGGTTAGAACTCATTACTGCACTAAACAAAACTAAACACTTACTGCACCTGAACGACAAAGTCTGGCCTGTAGTCTAATAACTAGACATTTATAACTTCATAAATTCACTGGAAAAGAAAGGGATTATATGGCAAAAGGGCCCAAGACTTTTTTCTAATGGACCTTTTTGTTATTGATGAGGATAATGATGATTATAATGATCATCTTGATCATGATGATGTTTATATATAAAATATATCATGAATTTTGAATTAAAAAAATATACTTTAGGATTTATCAATGTTTATGAAGCCCTAATCACAACCTGGCCCTGGCTATTTTTTATTAAACCTGACCCCAGTTCTGGTCAAATTTCAAACCAGGTTGCTTGCTATGCATTATTTTAAAGGATTTTAATGTAAATAATATAAGAATGTTCAAAAATGGTGATTTAAATATTTTGTGATATAATTCATGTTGCCTGGTGATTTAAATGACTTAATAGAAAATAGGGATAGATCAAGATTATTAAATAGTTTATTAGCACAAACAGAAGATATGTTAAAAATTGGAACAATCATTTTTTCCAATAGGAAACTGCATCCAGTAAGAGCAAGATGAATTATTATATTATTTTTTTTTGTCGTTATTATTAGATCTTTTGTAGTTGGACTTCATTCTTTCTAATGTGAGTTTGTTTAGATATATGCTGCATGATAAAAAAGTGCAAATAGATTTAGTGAATTTGGAAGATTGTAAGGAATGATTTTAACAATATATGTATGAATATATAACTACACCTTTCTGACATCATCTTATAAGGATTTTAATGATATATGCAAATGATGGTTTAAGTTTTTGAACAATGAAATTTAGTTCTTGCATTTATTCAATATTTAATCGATGTTTGTATAGATTGTTTTTAGTGATTTAATTTGTGTTAGCTTGTAACTTTTAGTAGATTTGAAAGTTAAACATTGTTTTTAAATTGATTTATTATGTTTGTTGTTAACATGATGTTAAGTTTTTGATTTTGTTGCACCTGATGCAGAAAGTGTTTGTTTAGTTCATTTTTTATAAGATGATTTTTTTTTTTCTTAATTTAAAATCTTTTTGTCATATTCAGGTTTAAGAAAATGTTTTTATAGTTTTCATTATTACGTAATTCCCTTGAGACAAGTAGAACAGTTTTCAAGACAATAATTAGAGGAGAATTTTTTTTAAATATTATTTTTGTTTAAATATTATTGAATTTGTGATTGAGTTTACAGCAAGACATTTTTCCGTAGATGTGGTCTTCATTGACAACTTCAACAGAAAATTAACAGATTTGTTTACTGTTGGTTGTTTAGCTTTTAGGATATCTATTCTTATTGTTAATTTCTTAATATTTTTTTGCTGTACTTGTACAATATCAAAAAGTTCTGAACAACCAAGTTTTCCTTGTTTAAACATATTGTTGATAATGGTCAAACTGTCATTAATAATCTTCAAACTATTGTTAATAATGTTTAAATGATGATAGTTCCAATAAATTACACAAAATACACAGGGACTAAAGGTCCCAGTTTTTTTTTTGTTTTGTAGTAGTAGTAAGTATATGATAGTATTTAATAATAACTAGAATTAAATTCAAGTAATAAATTTTATTGCTACTTAAATAATTTTTTTTTGTCAGAGTTGTTATCAGAGAGTCTTATTTTGTTGAAAGCGAAAGCCATACAAGGTTATTGTATTTTAAATGCTGCGTTCTGTTTTTTATTGGAGCTATTTTGTTTTAAAGTTGAAATTTAAAAATAAAATTAAAATGTTTTTTGCCAAGGGTTTTAGTATGCAAAGTATGCTATTTGACAAGAAATTAAAACTCTTTGCTGTCCTATTATAACTGAATAATATAATCTCCAAGAACTTTGTTTTCTTTGAGTTGAAGCAAGAAATTTTATCCCAAAGCATCAATAAAATTTTTTTGATTCTTCTACTCTCTACTTCAGGGCTACCTTTAAATTGCATGTAGATAATATTAAACTTTTAATTTGAATTTAAACTGTTTGCATATGAAATTATAATTTTTTAAAATTTTTATAAATATTTAAATTTTTTTTTATTTATAGGATGGAAGTCAAAAATAATATCTAGTCTGCTGCAGTGAACATTCAAAAATAGAAAAATCTTTTGAGCAATAGACATTTGCTTTTTTTTTTGCTTTTATGAGAAGTGTTTTCATAACATTAATTACTTGACAACTTTTATGTGAATTGTTTTTATAACATTAGTTTCTTGACAACTTGTATGAGAAGTGTATTCATAACATCGGTTTTTTGGCAGCTTTTTTTTGGCAACATTGGTTTGAAATGAAAATGAAAGAAAATAATGACCTGTTAATAATTTGTTTCATTTAGTATGGATGGTAAGATTATAAATTATACAATACTATATGTTAGTATAGATTAGTATAGATCTTTGCTTGTCTTTCTAAGTTTTAACCATCCAAACATATAAAAATACATAGCACTCAAAAAGAAAAAACTTCTGCGTTGTTCTATTGTTTAAAATGAGCATAGTATGTAAACAATTTTTAATTAATCTGACAACCACTAGTTATTTTGAAATAAATTGGTTTCTGTGATGTGAAATATGAAGATGTTAAATTTAAGGTTTTTACTGCACAAAATTAATTTACTTCTTTTTGTTTCATTTTATTAAAATTATTTTGTGTTAATAAAAACAAAACTTTAATAAAATCTTCAATTAAAAACAAACTCCCAATAAATGTCAACAGTTGGTTAACATTAGTTCATTTGATTAGTCACATGATTATGTTGTTGTTGCCGTTGTTTTTGCTTTATTAATAAGTATGATGTTATTATTAATTTTTTAGTATTAATTTTTTATTTATTTTTTAATATTAATAGTATTATCATTATTATGACTATCATAATTATTACATATCGCAGTAAGCAACCCGTAATATTGGTTATTAGTAATTAAATCATTATTTTGATTATAACATCAAAATTAACTTGATATATTAACATTAACTTGATATATTATCTAAAAAAGTATAATTAAATACAAATTTATCTGTATATAATATTTTAAGTTTGGCTTCCTATCAGCAATGTCATTGCTTATAGTTAAAGAACATAAAAAAACATTACTATCAGTTAAATTCTTTTTAAAATCTGTTACAACACAGCAAGTACGGGACGAGGAAAGTCAAGTAAAGCCTGCCAATACCATAATACAATAATAATAAAAAAAAAGAAATCGAAAAATTTACAATTTTCAATTACAAAATTACTATATTTTCATTTTATTGTTAATAGAATTAGAATAATAATACAATAAAAAATTAAAAAAAAAAAAATTAGCTATGATAGGCTCTATCAACACAAAACACAGTAACAATAGCGCATAGCATAAGATATTTGTAAGCACACGTTGCAGACATTATTGTATGTCTCCATAATAATTTAAAAAAGCTAAACAACATAACCTAATAACACTGCTTGGTGTTGCCAAATAAATAATAAATTTTGTTAACTAAAATACTTGAATTAAAGGAATTTTATTTATTGCAATGTTTGAACAATCAAGGGGAAATAGTTAAACATAGTTAAATAATTTAAACTATCATATAGCAAGCAACTCGTTAAATATTTCTTATACATGGTCATTATTAATTGTGGTATTAAGAAATTTGTAAGAGCATAAGAATTGGTATGAATATGTATTGCTTTCCTTGATCACCAGAAAAGCCAGTTACATCAAAGTTCCACAAATGGCATGAAATGTTTTCGTTAATACCTTTTTTGAATTCTCTATTCAGTGTGTTGAAAGACTATTTACTATTAATTACTATTTCTTGGGTACAAGAAGCAGCTCTGAGTGATGAAATGTTGCTAACGGCTCTGATGCTTAACCTATGACTCCTCTAATGAAAAGCTTGTACCAATCTTTCCTTTGTGTGCTGTTGGAAAACAGGTAAAATTGATCTTGGTTTTGCAAATAGTTGGTAACTTAAGTTATGATGTCATTGTAAGTTCTACCAAAGCCCTTATTAAATAATTTGATGAATGTATCTACCAGAGCTGATTCAAAATGTTGTAGCAATCTTGTATTTGAACCACTGCCAATTGCTTCACCTATGCCATTGACATACCTATAAAGAGTTGCTATTGGTGAATGAAATATTGTTAAAGTTTTAATATTGTGCTGAATGATTGAGCAGCTTTGTAGAAAGTTTTGAAAAGTTTAAAAGTTTTTATTTTTAATTTATGCCAATTTTTATTTTTGCCACTGCAAGCATGTATTCAGTGTATGTTTTTTTTCTTGCGTTTTTTTCTTGCCAGTTTTTTTGAGATTTGATAATAATCAATTTAAAAGTTGAACGATGAATTTATAAAGATTCATTGGTCAGTTTAAACATAATTAATTATTATGTAAATAATTGGCATATTTCATTCAACCCTATAGTTTACTGCTTCCGATTTTAACTCATAACTTTTTACCAGAAATAAAAAATTTAATTAAAAAAAAAGATTTTTGACTGGCATTAAAAGATATACAAGGAAACCTTATAAGTTAACTTTTTTGTTTGTTTACATAATCGATCTATACAAAAAAAAATAATGACGTCATATACTGAAACTCTTAGGAATAAAACACGGTTGAATAAATTATCAAGTCTGTATATTGCGGCGTATATTATGCTGACTTTTTGGCCTACAATAAAATGGAGAATACAAGCTACAACTAAAATAAAAAAGTTACTTTTTCTTAGTATTCATTTATTCTTGCGTTTTAATCAAAAAAAATTAGCTCGAACATTTTTTTTATCATTATCTTTAATATGAAAACAACATGTCTAGGAGGTTTAGGATCCCTTTAAATGCTTTTTTTTAACATTTAAGTGACATCAACAATTAAGCAACATTTAAGTGACATCAACAATTAAGCAACATTTAAGTGACATCAACAATTAAGCAACATTTAAGTGACATCAACAATTGAGCAACATTTTAATGCTGTATAATTTTAGTTTTGATGTTTTATATGTTTTATTGTTTTTTAAAGAACTGCAATAATAATGATTAAAATGTTTGTTTAATTAGTAGTGATTTTGTTTAATTGTTTTATAATATTTTTACAAAATGCGAGGAGTGTTGCTTTTTTACTGTTAAACGTGTGCAGAGTGTTACTACATTAACTATCTTATAGCCTGCTGCTATAAGCGAATGTTGTTACATTGACTATCTTATTGCCTGCTTGCTACAAGGAAGTGCCACTACATCAACTAAGAGTTTGTTTTGGGCAAGCAATCCATCATTAAAAAAAAACACTTCATTCAAGTTTTTAAACTTTTTCTGGTCTGGTTTATTAGTGTTCAATTTCAAATTACAGTTTATAGAAAAAACTTTTCAACTACCATGCAAGACTATATATGTATATATATATATATATATATATATATATATATATATATATATATATATATATATATATATATATATATATATATATATATATATATATATATATATATATATATATATATATATATATATATATATATATATATCATGGCTGTTTCACTCAATATAAAAGCGAGCTTGGCGTCACAATTATTTTTGTGTTTATCAAAAAAAAAAGTATTTCTGCAAAAAAAGTTTATAAATGCACTAACTTTAAAATAATAGTGTTTTTTTCCTATAAGCGCTTTCATCTTCAAATAAAAAAAATATAAAAGACCTATCTTTTTTTTTAAAATAAATATTTACATTAAACGGAATAAAAATATTAATGTTTAAATATTGCTAACGATTTGGGATCACTTTTCTGTTTTTTGTGGCTTTTACAGAAAACCTGTCTTGGGTCAACTAAGATTTCATAACATAGCTACATGCCTAATGGTTGAAATTTGGAACATTTATAAATAAATGTCTATTCTATCTAATTTTTGGTGCGGATTGCTTATTTTTTATTTTTTAACTATTTTTTAATGCATTTATATTTTTAATTTTATTATTAAATAATGAAAATCGTATTATTTATGTAATCCGCACCAAATTATTGAAATTTCAACCCTTTTTGCATATAAAAATCAAAAAATTGTTTGCTTTACCTCTAGCTATGTTATGAAATATGTTTTCAAACTTGGCTAGTTTGGAAACAAATTTTTCTAGTTTAATGCGCAAAACATTGTTTACATTTCAAAACAATAACGCGACCTTTAATTCTGTACGCCCAAGCAAATATGTAATAAATTTTATGAAAACAACTTTCTTAGCGAGACGAATTTTGAAGTATAAAATAAACAAAATTAGGCAGTTTTTTCTTTAGAATGGTGCATAAATCTATTATCAACTGGGTGTTCAAAGATCGTTTTCTACTTAAAGAACTTATTAATGGATCAACTTATTAATGGATCAATCAAAGTTTTTATGACAATAAAAACACATTATCAAACAATTTAAATTAGCTATTTGTATATTTAAAGAAATGTTTATTTTTTGTGTAAAAAGATTAATTCAAGTACCATAAAATAATTCTATTACCAAAAGCGAGGTTAATTCAAAAACTTTAACTCAGTTTTTGTCATGAATTTTTTTATTAGAGTCTTTATTTATTAACAACCTAACACCATATTATTAAAACTGTATGCATAGAAAAGAATTTCTCAAGTTTTTTAAAGGCTTTAGCTTAAAATGTTAAGAATAAATATTTCAAACTTGAAATCTGGTTTTATTTTATAATGCATTAAATTTATAAACTTAGCGAATCATTTTCTAAAACAAGAACTTCTAGACTTAAAAACGTGCTCATTTAACAGCTAATCCCCCCTTTAACAACATTTTTCATAATTTTGAAAGAAATGCGGTTTGCTTGCAGACTTTAATAAAGACTGTTTTAGTTTTCCTTTAACAATTAAGTATAATTTTTTTTATTTTATTAATAGTTAAACAATGAGTGTATTTAATAATAACTATCAGAAATATATTTTTCTGATTTTTATTTGGATAAAAAGTAACAACAAATTACTAAAATTGAACCAAGTTCATCATTTGTTGCGCTTTTTATAAACTAAAAGAAGTTTTTTTACTATTGTATTAAATGTAGTATGATAAAACATTTTATTGTTGTTTTTATTCCTTTTACAAAACAAAATTATCTCTAAAATTTCAAAAGTTATAAATGTTTTAGTAACACCCCCTAAGTCAAAATTTTCAAAAAAAAACAAGAAGCCGTAAAGCTCACTCTGAAACAGCCGTGATATATATATATATATATATATATATATATATATATATATATATATATATATATATATATGTATATATATATATATATATATATATATATATATATATATATATATATATATATATATATATAAATATAAATATATACAACCCTCGGAAATAGGAAAAACAAGGTCGGTAATAATTTGTCAACCTCAATCATTTAGAGGTCGGCATCAGGTTGGCAAAAAAATTTTGATACAAATGTCTAACCATAAAACATAAAAATGAGGTCGGCAATTATTTGCCGACCTCAAACACTTTATGGTCGGCAGTTAAGTCAGCATTGCCGAATGCCAATCCTAATTCCGAGGGTTGTATATATATACATATATACAGGTTAGCCAGAAAGGCGTGCAATATCATGTTGTAATATGACCACGCAAATACTATTTGATTTTAGTTAACTTGACCTCGGATGTTAAAATGTTTTGAAAATTTGTATATGTTTTGAAAACGCGCTAAAAAAATTAAATTAATCTTAACTTAACTATAAAGAAACTTAAAAAAACAACTTATTGTTAAAGAAGCAAATAAAACTTCATAAAAAAAAAAAAAAAAAAAAAAAAAAAAAAATAACTTAACTAAAACTAAAATAGCAAAAATAGAATTAAAACTTAACTGAAATAAATAATAAACTATAACGATAAGATTATCTAAATTACGTTTGAAATAAATAACTTTGAGTCGTTAACCTATACTAATGTTTTTATAATATAATATTATTTGTTTAATAAACGCGCACATTTAAAATTTAATTAATTAATAAGTTTAATAAATTTAATTAATAGAATAATTATTAAATAAATTATAATTATAAAATATTATAAAAATATAAATTATAAAAATAAATAAATTATAATTATAAAAATTTATAAAAAATATTAATTAAAAAAAAAATTAATAAAATAAATAAATATTAATTAATTAATAAGTTTAATAAATTAAAAAGATATTCTTTATTCTTCGCACAAATAAAAAAATAATTAAATCGTTTATTTAAAAAATTGATAATTTTTCTTTATTTAAAAACATTTATAATAAAAAGTAAATACTTATATTATATAAGTATTTATTTTTTATTATAAATGTTTATTTTTCTTATAAATATTTATATAAGTTATATAAATATAAAAAAGTATATATTAATCATTAATGTTTTTATAAAAAATCATTAGAAGTGATATGTTACTTTATTTAAATGCGCTACTTTATTTAAATGCGTTATAAAAACGTAAGTAAAGATCAAAGTTATTTAATTCAAAAAAGTTTGTCTTTTTTTTCTTCGCAAAACTTTAATGATTCTTGTATAAAGTTTATTATAGGGACCTTTGCTGTTTAAAGTTGTCGCTTATAAAATTTAATATTTTTTTTTAATTTTTACTTTTTTTATTTTTACTTATAAAAAATCTTATATAATTAAATAATATAGATAAAAAATTATACAATTTTCAATGATATTTTAATTTAAAAGCGTGTTGCTAATATAAAAACGTTAGTAAAGATAAACTTGTCGAAGTAATTAATTTTCAATGTAATTATAAACCAATTATTTCAGCGCATTTGTTATTAACCGTGGTTAAACCATCAAAATAAAATATTATTAGCATGGTCATATAAAGACTATTAATCGCACGCTTTCCTGGCCAAGCCATATATATATATATATATATATATATATATATATATATATATATATATATATATATATATATATATATATATATATATATATATATATATATATATATATATATATATATATATATATATGTATATATATATATATATATATATATACACATATATATACATTTACATGTGTATATATATATATATATATATATATACATACACATATATATACATATACATGTGTATATATATACATATACATGTGTATATCTATACATATACATGTGTATATATATATATATATATATATATATATATATATATATATATATATATATATATATATATATATATATATATATATATGTGTATATTTATATATATATATATATTTTTCATTTTGTTATATATATAATAAAATAAAATATGTATAGGGGAAGTGGGGGCATAACCGCATATGGAGGCGCAACCATTTTTTATAATTTCTCTTTGAAAAATGTTTAATATGGCAAAAAACATACCACATGTTGGTAAAGCAGTTTCTTTCATTTTATTATGTCAAAAAATGTGCCTAATCTGTTTCTGAGAAGTTGTGCATTAAAGTGTGTATTTTGATAAAAATATTATTTTTACATCATATTTTTACAGACTTTTCTTTTGAGGGTTAAGCAATATATGATTTTTGTATTAAAGATATGTGTTATCAGCGTTATTTCATTAAGTGAAAACCATTTTTTAAATCAACATAGTCTAATAAGCGAGTTATGAAACTGAGTTCTTTCTAAAAACTCTTTTCTGAGGCAGAACTCAAAATGTAAATACAAAGAATGCCTGCATAGTATGCAAACATGCAACAAAATCATCAAATATTCTGAGCTGTGAAAATTGTAAAGAAAATGTACCATGAAAGGTGTACCCTCAACGATTTTTATGAGGGTACAGTTGTGTCTCACAATGGGGGCAAAATCGTTTTTTCCACTAAGTGTACATTTTGTGTAATAAAATTTTCAAAAGCTGTTATTTTTTCCTATTTGCAACAATTTAGTTGCAAATAGGAAAACGTAAGCTTAATAATGTGTTTATTGAAATAAACTGTTAAAAAAACAAATTTCGCTTTTATTTTCATATAACATCAATCCAAACGTTACGGGGGCGGTTATACCCCCACTTCCCCTAAATTTTATTTTAAAAGTATGTGTGTATATATATATATATATAAATATATATATAAATATATATATACAAAAGTATATCCATATATATATATATATATATATATATATATATATATATATATATATATATATATATATATATATATATATATATATAAATATATATACATGCCTATAGTAAAAGGTTTAAACTTGCCATTTGTGGTAAATAATAGCTACTTTTTTGTGCTAAAAAATAGCTAGTGTGGTAAAAAATTAACTACTTATCGGTATTAAATTTGACAAAGTATAGGTTAGATTACAATAAAGATTACAAATGCATCTTAATTAAGGAAACTAATAAAATTTATTGTTTTTTAAAAAACCACGACAATCCAAATCAAAAGACACTCATTCAGAATGTTTTTGAAATTTAATATTTTTAACTAAAAACATCCTGAATGTTTTTATTTTTTGCTGTAAAACATCCATTGAGTGTTGCTGCATCAACTATCTATCTAATGGCAAAAATTATCATCTTCCCAACCCAACCCTTTAATCGATGTAGCAGCAACTCCTTTGCATGTTCTCCTAATACTAGTTAATAAATGTGTTTAAGCCCTCAGCAGCTCCTTATTTCAGTATGATGTCAGTGTGAGATGTGAAGAACTATTATTAGGATAGATCATCATCATCATCATCATCATCATCATCATCATCATCATCATCATCATCATCATCATCATCATCATCATCATCATCATCATTTCAAGTTGTTTTGAGAACAAGTAGAAAAAGTGTTTAGTTAGGTTGTAACATGTGTTTCATTAATTAAATAGATTTTATTGCTAGGAATAAAATAAATTTTAAAATAAATTCTGTTAACTACGAAAGTAGTCAACAGAATTTTTATAGAAGTGTTTATTATCTTTATTGAAGCAATTAACAATACTTTTTTAAAGAAAATATCGAAGATTTCAACAAAATATTAATTGAGCGAGTATCATCTAACTGGAAACGGTTTGCTTTTAATGCATGTGAAACAGATATACATAGTATAATAGAACATATTGATCAACGTAATGAGAGTGACAAATTAAAAATGGCAGCTTTTCTTCAAAAGCTGTATGAAATTAATCCAGCTTGTTACAAAGAAGTGATTGTTGATTCTCTTTATGCTTTAAAGAGATTTGATGTGGTTTTGGGTGTAGCAATCGATAGTAAGTTATTACCATTTGTGTTGACAAAGTTTTTATTTAACAAATATTTTTTAAAAAATTATTTTTTATTATTGTTATGGATTATATTGTGTTTTTTTTTTTTTGTTGTTATTCATTTTTAATATTATAATAATATATGAACTTAAAAATAATTTTTTAAAATAATTATTTACTTTTTATACTTTTATTTACTCCAAAAAAAAAACTGCAAGCAACCACTATCTATTTGGCAGTTACTAGAAAACAAAGGGTGGATGTTTGTCATTCATTAATAAAGCCATAGTTATGGTATTGTGAAATTATTAATTTAATAAAATGAATTCTTGCCGGTCATGTTTGACTGGTTGAAAAAAACTTTGTTTTTTAAAAATAGTTTTTAAAAACAAGGTTTTAGAAATAATAATGATGTAATTTAGAAAATGCATATACTAAAGTTTAAAATTTAAATGCATATAAAAAAGTTTCATAAAATTATTTAAATTTACAACATTTAAAATAGTTTTATTGTTTATGACTAGGGTTTCCAATTATCCGACATTAATGACTATGCGGATATCAAATACTAAAAATTCAAATTATCTGGATATATCCAGATATCCGGATAACAAAACAAAAAAAAAATTAAGATGATAGATTGAACTTAATACTTTCATGGTGTTTCTAAGTTAAAATTAATAATTAATTTTTATTTAAGTATTTTAGTGATATACATTGAAAATTCAAATATAAAATAAAATAAAACAATTATACTCTTTAAATTAATTTTATTTTTAAAAATGCATATTACAAAAAAATAATTGCATTAAAAGTTTCAAAATTTAAGCGAGTTCTAATTTTTGTTCGAGTTAAACCAGCAATTGAAAAAATGCGCTCTGTTGCAGTAGATGTTAGTCTTATTGTTAGAAGTGTGTTAAGCTATATATTTAAGTTATTTGTTCTTGTTTTAGTGGTTGTTAAAAAGATAAAATTATTTTTCAACAATGAAGTAATTATGCTGCTCTGCTTTTCTGCTTGGGTAATTGAGGAAATTGCAGCTTTCAGCTTTTGCTGCATAATATTATTAGCCCTTTGACTTTTAGGCATACATTCACTTGCTATTTCTTTTGCAATTTCCTTGACCTCATTGTGCTCAGTACTGCTGCTGTCACCACTAGATGTATGAATCCTTTTAAATATTTCTACTGCTAAAGCAATGGTGGCAGATTTTGAAGTATATTCAAAAAATTTAGTAGAATGTGAAGTATTGCCTGATTCTAAGAAGATTATTAATGTCATGAGGATTTTATCACGACATTCATCCATTAGCTTTTTTATCTGTTTAATAAATTTTTACTTATATTTGTTTGTAACTGGTCTAAGTTTTCAAATATAAATTTATAAACACCTTCAGCGGTCAAAAGGGTTGCAGAACTTTTACTCAACTCCTTTATTGCAGTTTCTATCGGTAATAAGACATTTAATAGTTTTTCTAAAGTTGATACATTCTCTTTTGAAATCTTTTGTTGCCCTAATTCATTTACAGTTTTATTTATAGGATCCTTTATTTGAAGGAATTGTTTGAGCATGGTTATCAATGAATTCCACCAAGTTTTGACATCTAACATCAACTGCAATGTCATGCCTACTTGTTCATTAACATATCTTTATAAAATATTGTTTTTAACTGAAGAGAATTTTATTCTTTTTATAATTCTTCTGAGATTTTGTATAACTTCTTGAAAATCTTCAGTGAGATCTATAATTTCAATGTCTTCCTCTAGCTTTCAGATTATGTTAGCATCTTCAAAACTATTTAAATTCAACTCATTATCAATGCTTTTAACAGATTCACCTTCACTATCTTCACTAACATCTATATAGTTTGTTTTTTCTTCATTTTCTTCACAAAATTTTGATTGTTGTTTTTTATACAGTACATCAGTTATTGCTAAATGCAAACCGTGGTTATAACAAAGTTGAGATATGATGCCTAATAGCCTTCCATAGTTGACCATAACGGCTGCTCCATCATGTGATGATGATATTATATCTGACTTCAATTCGATTCCAAATTCCTTTAGCTTATTTTCAACATATAGCTTTATTTGTTCAGCACTTTTTACGTGAACCCCAATGCATACGCTTCAAATTTTTTAATTAAATTATCGACAAGGGCAAGTATAACATTAAGATATCTATTCATAGAGTTATCAGTCCACTTGTCTACTGTTAATGAGAGTTTAACATTTTTTCCCTTTATGTCCTTGAAAATACTGTTTCTATTTTTTTATTTCATCAAATTTTAAATGTACTTTGTTACAGTAGTAGGACTTTTAGGCATGTCAAACTCAATAATTTTAATGTACCCAATAATGACTTGTGATTTCACAATAGAATTTATTGAAAAACCATCCTCTGCTACACATCGCAATAAAATTTCCTCCAATGTTTTAGTTTTAACAAATTTTTTAATACTATTGTCAGCATTTTTGCTCACAACTTATCTCACACTTATTATCACAACTTTGCTCACAACTTATCTCGAATGAATTTTTAGTAGAAGCAGATAGGTTAGAGCAATTTAAGAGAATCTTTTAAATTTTTAAATGATTAAAAAGTGTTGTTGTAGATGATCCTTTACATCCTAGTTGTTTACTGTAATGCTTACAGAAAGCAATATCCTTATTTTTTCATTTCTCTTAAAATGGTTCCAAACTTCAGATTGTTTTGACATTACTACAACTTTTAAAGTTTAAGAAATTTAAAAATTAATTATAAATTTAAGATAGAAGTAATGTATCTAGAGTGAAGTATTAATTCAGAATTTTGTGTAATAAGTCACTTATTAAACTAAATACTTATATAAATATGCTAATAATTTGTTGTATGACCAATTTAAAACAGACTTGAAACTGTTATTACATATTAATATAGCTTAAAATAATAACAAACAAGTAAAAGAATAAAAAATCATATAGCAAGCAAAAAAAAAAACTAAAAGCAATTTAATAAAAGATAAATACTGTCCAAGAATCCTTAATGTTACAAAAATCATAAAAAAAAAAAATTACAAAAAAACCATTATACTTAAAATTAAAAAAAAAAAAATTAGAAAATAGGATATTAAAAACTTTTAATTAATAATCAAAATGCCCAAGTTTAAAGAATATATTCATATAAAATTGTCTACTTAATATTACATTAATGTAATATTGAGCAGACACAAATCATTGTGCTTAAACAACTGAGCTACAATGTGTAACAAACAATTGTTACAAAGAGTAGAAAAAAATAAACTAACATTTAAGAAAATAAAAATAAGTATTTATTTTAGGTAAATATACTGATCTTGTTAGAAAGATTGTTATTTTAATTTAAACTTTTCATTTTTTAATGCCATGTTTAAAGGTTTCCCACCGTTTGAAAACAATATTTTAGTTTTTCAAAAAATATCCGGATTGGCGGATAATTAATAAAAATTATCCAGATTTTCGAATAGTCAAAATAAGGCAGATTATCTGGATAATCTGTCTTGTTTTGGATCCGGATTGGAAACCCTATTTATGACATGGTACTTTAATTTGCTTCATTGACGAATTTATGACAAAAACTATATCTTTTTTTTGCAATGCAAAAAAAGCAATTGCAATGTATGAATTATTTTTAATTAAGTTATAAATTATCAATTGTGCGATTACTAATTTTTTTTCTTTTCTATTATTGAGTTTTAATAGAAACATCAAATGTCAACCCGTTCTAATGATGGCGATTAAAATGCTTTTATTTTTCAATATATGTATATATATATATATATATATATATATATATATATATATATATACACATATTTTTGTTATAATTATTTTTATATGTTGAATATATTTTCAATTCTGGAATAAATTAAAAGAAAAAAAATTTTATGTTAAAAAAATTTGTTTAGAAAACTTTGATAAAGTTTGTCATATTTTGGTGAAACGGCTATCACATGATTGGAAGGCTTTTGGTCGTTGGTTTGATATAGAGGACATAAGTACTATAGTTGAAACTATTGACCAAGATAACAATAGTGATTCAATAAAGATGGAGTCATTTCTTGAAGTAATTTTTCAAAGAGTTCCATTAGACTACAAAGAAGTAATTGCTAATGCTCTGGAGTTTTCAGGGCGCTATGATATTTTGTTTAATGTTGCATTAGACGGTAAAAATAAAAACTTTTTTTAGACATCTTTTTATAAATATAATATAAGCAAAGTTATGTTTAACTAAAGTATGAAATTTTTTTTCTTTTCCATTTATTGTTATTGCTATTATTTTTATTGTTTATGTTACAGAAGCAAACTAAAAAAAGTAAAACTGAAGAAGTTCATATATATATATATATGTATATATATATATATATATATATATATATATATATATATATATATATATATATATATATATATGTATATATATATATATATATATATATATATATATATATATATATATATTATATAATTATATATATATATAATTTATATATATATATAATAAAAAGTTTAACACACCATAGTTTGTGTGAATTTTTCTTAATGAATGTAAACCTGGTAATGAATGTTTTTCAAATTTAAAAAACACTTTAATAAACTATCTTCTTCTTGAACATGTGACACGCACTGCCCAGATCTTTTTACTGTACTGCACCATAACATAATAGTCAAATAAAATTCTATAAAACCTATAACACCTATAAAAGCTTGTCTTAATAAACTACATAGCTATAAAAATTTTTTAAATAGCAAATAAGTGTTATAAGTTACACAGCTTTAATATTTAAAGATGACCTAGAAGTTTCTAAAACTTAATAAAACATTAGAAAAAAGCAATAGAAAATGAAATACAAAAATAGCAGCATGTTTTATTTTACTCAATAAAACTTTAAATGTATTTGAATGTACTCAATGAAAACTTTGAATGATTTACAATAAAACAACTACAGCCTAAAGTGTAGAACAAACAACAGTCTGGTAAGTCTTTATAAGTAATTATAAAAACTAGCAGTAAGCAACCCGTAATACGCGTTGTTAGTAAATAAAATTAAAAAAAAAAAAACGCGTATAGAAAAGCCTAGAAACTACTTTAATATAGAAAAGCCTAGAAAATGACGTAATTCGTCTAATAATATTAAATTAGCGTATTAATATTATCAGAAAAAATAATTAAAAAAACAAAAACTAATTGCAAAACTATAATATAAAAATATAGATATTGTTTATAGAAAACTAATTGCAAAACTATAAAAATATAGATATTAATAATAAAGTATAAATAGTAAAATGTAACAGAATATTAATTCCAAACATAAATATTACATTTATAAATGATGTCCTTGTTATTACCTATAAGGTTAAAGATTTAAATCTATTATTTAAAATATGTAAAGAATTTGGTAGAAAGTACCTAAATTATTGGAATCCTAAAAAAATAATACAATTATTATATTATAGAGCTATAGTAGTTCGAAAACTATAAGTAATTAATTTCACTTCGAAAGCATATCCATTATCTATTTTTTCTAGGTAAATAAAATTATAAATTCCAAATCATATAGCTTTGAAGTTCAAGCTTTTGCATTTGATGATAAAATTAGGTATTTTGTTCCACATTGATGAGACAATTGGTTAAGAATTGATGATGAAGATTGCAATTTTTAACAACTTCTTTTTTGATTTTAAAATTACCTTGTCTTTTTTGGTATTTTGTCACCTAGTTTATAAATATAGCGAAGGTTATTTTTTCCAAAGTGCAACATTTTTCACTATTAAATTGTAATTTCCAGATCTCAGACTTGGTTTGAAGACTTGGTTAATTTCATTCTGAAGCAATTGATCATTCTCAAAGTTAGCTACTTTTCTGTTTCCCGAAGTGTTCTAAAATCTCTGGTAAATTGTTGATATATATAATGAGTAAGATAGGAAAAATTACCCATCTATGGGGAAAAAGCTTGTTATCATTCCCCAGTTTGATGCTTCCTTGTCTTGTATCACTCTTTAGTGATAAGTTAAAAAGTGGCATATGATGAAAATCCAGTTGCATATAATGTTTGCTATTTCATATGACTTCCGTTTGATTATTAATTATTTACAAGTGTTTTAAAAGAAAAGCTTCAAATCAAAATTTTACAAATTTTTATGGATGGACCAAATGTGAATTAAAAGTTTTTTGATATGCTCAATGAAGAATTTGGTAAAAAGTTTGAAACTTTTATTCTTGAAATGGGATCATGTGGCCTACATGTTGTACATGGCGCAATTCAAGCAGGTCATAAAAAGATGAAATGGAATGTTAATGCTGTACTCAGAAGTTACCTCTGAAATTTTGTTCAACAAGATGGGTTGAAAGTGTGTCTGTATGTCAAAGAGCTTTAGATGTGAAGTTGTCACGCAACCGAAACTACCTATTAATTATACTGTAAACATTTTTACTGATGCTGTCAATGATCCTTTGATGCCTGCTAATACTGCTTTTTTTCAATATTTGGCTTCAATTGTAGAGCCGTTCCTATGACTTTTTTATTCAGATTCTCCATTAGCACTATTTTTATATCAAGAACCTGAAAAGCTAATGAGATCTCTTATGAAGAACTTTAATAAAAAAAGAACTAAACTAAGAGAAAGAAGTCCTTTAAAATATAAACTTGCAAGAGCTCAATGATAAACTTACAAATGCTTAATCTCGAAATCAATGATCAAAAGTGTAAACATATCCCATTCACACTACAAAAATTCATTAAAACAAAAAAGAGAAGAAAAATTGCACAAAAAACAAGACTGTATTGATAAAAAATTAACTCTGCATAAAATTAAGAAATTAAATGCTAAAAAAACAATGTTAAATCAACATGAACAGAAATTTGTACGTGAGATTGAATTAGAATTAAAGATGCTATCATGCAAAATGAAATGAGCAGTTTTACATTATTTTTGTTTAAAAAGATTTCAGCTGTTTTCTTGAATTTAAATATAATTTTAGTATTTAAGTTTTTTTAAAAAACAAAAAAAAAAATTTAAATTTAAAAACCATTTAAAATGTTTATTTTTTAACTCATAATAACTGAGATATTATAATTAGCTTATATCTTTGCTCTTTTGTCATTTTTCAAGAAAATTTATTTATTTGCTATCAATATTTCCAAAAGAACATTAGGCAAATGGGACCTAATTTATTGCATATATATTGGCATATGCATATTTATTTTATTCTGTTGTTAGACAGCTGTTTGTTTTATTATTAAACTCTTTGTTGTTATTTTTATAAATTTTGAAGCTTAAACTGCTCTGATGTTTTAAGTTTACTTCACTTCTTAGTAATATCTTTGTTATTAAACTGGAAAGCTAAGAAATAAGACTTTTCAGAACTGAATATACAAAAAATATATTCCCAAAGCTAGCGCTTGAAAAAAATATAAAGTGATGGAGAGATGTTTTTTTGCTGATAATCAAATGTTAGCAATTTTTTTTTATTATTACTTGTACTCACTTCTTTGATTTCATTTGTGTGTAGAAGTAGCTATCTTTTTTTCCATGTATTTTTTTTTCTATACAAAAAATCTTCCTAAGCTTCCTAAGTTTCCTAAATATATATATATTAGGCCGGATCATAACTTCAAAAATTTTGATCAATTCCTTAGAGAATATGCATTCAGTGGTTCTCAAATATACTGAATCTATTGCTGCAAACCATTTTTCTTTAAAAATTTACTTAAAAATGCCATTTTGTAACATATCATTTATTGAATATTCAGTACATCTTAGTAATTACATTTATTAATTTTTTATTAATAATTTATTAATTTAGTAATTACATTACTTAGTAGTTACATTAAGAAATTTATTTATTGAACACTTAATACTTAATATTTTTAAAATCTCGACTAAAAGTTTTATCATACTTTAAAATGCTGTATTTACCTTCACTACGTAATTTTTTCACTTCTTCTTTTTTTAGTTTTTTGGGCAAAATCTTCGTTTATACAAATGCCAGTTCTTTTAAGATGTTTTAATGAGTTGAGTATTTTGTTTTTGTCGTGGAAGTTCAGGAGTTTTAAAACTATTGTTCTTGGTTTATTATCTTTCTTTTGACCGATGCGATGTGCTCTTTCTATTACGACTTCATTTGGAATTTTTAATTGACTATTAAAGAATTTTTTTACATCTTTTTCACAATCGTCCTAGCTCTCTCCTGGAGACTCTTTTAATCCCTCTATTCTTAAATTATTTCTTCTGGAACAATTTTCCAGAAGAAATAATTTAATCTAGTCACTATCAGTTATAATTTTGAGGCTTGGACTCATTATTAAAGTAAATGATTTTTCTTGCTCTTTAAATAGTTGTTCAGTTTCTTTAAAAAAACTTTTTTTGTGTTCCTTGAATTTATTTGTGATAATTTTTTTGATGTTTTTCATTGTAATATCCATTTTTATGTAAAATTTTATCGCTAATAAAAAACACGTTTTATTTCCGCAAAATTTCCGCGATGTGGTATTCAGCCAGTAGGGCGTACTTCTGCCCCCACCTGTTACAATTTTGTATTTCAATTATTTTACACATTAAATATACCGCCTTGTTGTTTATGTTTTTTACTTTATTATATGATCTATCAATAAGCAAAATTGTTATATTATTATTCGTTCGACACTTATAGATACACCAGAATATTACGAAAGGGATTTTGTTAATACCGCTTAAAAAAGAATGATTAGGCATAATTACATGAAGATACTAGACACATGATTTACACACTTAGCTGCTATTTTAGGATGAACATGCTATAGAGATATTCCTTCGCCAAGCCACGGAGGACGCGAACGCATTATCTAACGCGAGTCTTGATAGAGAACGATGCATCGTTTACAAAGAAATGAATGGAATATTCTTCCACCTTATGAATACCTGGCTACTATCCATACAAATAATATTCTGGAATATAACTACAACCGACACTGAAACATTCAAATTAACACTTTTTTTCATTGGTAACGGATGCTCTCCATACTTAATATTCAAATTCCTTATTCTCTGCTTTAGAAAAAAACCGCACAAAATATAAAAAAAGAATATACCAACCATACCATGATATTTAAACATGGATCCTTGTCTATGTGAATGGAAAAGCCTTGAAGATAAACAAAATGATTTACCCATATTTTATATAGAA